CTATTTCTAAGCTAGTGCCTCTTATTTTAACAGTAAAACTACCATCTGTTATATTATTTTAAGATGTTAAGATTTTGATATAAGCTTCATTTTTTTTTAGTACATGATTATTATTTTTTCTTATGAAAGTATACTACACGAGAAGTTTAAATTTGGTAAGATAAAATTGAAAAATAATTATATACACACCCTAAATATCAAATATGTGGTATATATTAAGTTTAAAGTCGTTCACCAGAAGAATGATTTTCATTCACCTCACACACATCAAGGACAGATTATAAAGAAGTCGTTTACCAGATAAGTGACTTTGAAAACTATTCACCTGAAAAACGATTTTAAGTGTATCATATTAGTAAATAATTTTAAAAGTACAGTATATTGGTATATAATTTTACTGTTTGTAGTATTTTGGTAAAAAAGCTTGTTGTGGGGCATGGGCTTTTTATGCATGTGACCAAAATAATAATAATAAGAATAATTTAATCCTACAGCTTAATCGCTACAATTAAAAATTTACAATCAAAGCATAACTTTTTTTGTTACGTACTGTTAGTATGAGAAAAATAAAAAGAAGAGAAAATGATAGGAAATTTCATCAAGCTCTATTTAAAAAATTAAAAAATTGGAGTATTCAAATTTTAATCCAATATAAGTCTCAAATGAAGTAATTCACATGTAATATATATAAAGCCATAGATATTGTAGCCTCATGAGAGCATTGTCAGAGATTCTTATTTTTGCATGTAAAATTGGCAGAGATTCTCCTGAACAGGGGAGAAAAAGTGAAATCATTCATACCAAGAACGATTTCACTTTTCGATTTTAAAAAAAAATTAAAAACTGAAATCGTTCACACCAAGAACGACTTGTGTGTAATTTGAAAATCGTTCTTGTCAAGAACGATTTTAAATACAGTATATTAGTAAATACTTTTAAAAGTGCAGCATATTGACATGTAGTTTTACTGTTTATTATATTTTGGTAAAAAGCCTTTCAGAGATACTTTTCTTTTCCGGCACCGTCAAAACTACACAAAGCGAAGGAACATCAGTTTCGTTCTTTTTGGATTTCTATCCATGAATCAATCAGTCTTCTTTTGAGGAGGGGATGACTTGCGCGGAAAATACAGTCAGGGTTGGGTCTGGCTTCGGAAAGTTAAATGGGATCACGGAATGAATATCCTGAGGCGCATCGGGGAATTACTACACACGAGGACCAAAAAGCCAGCCACACTCCGCCCTATTCTGTGCTTGGCTTAATGAATCCCAAACGGGAAAGCGTCAAGATATCATTTTGAAATCAAACAGCTGACCCTATATATCACGATACCACTAATTTTGCTCAATTTCAGTTTACTCTTTTCTCTCTTTCTCCCCTTCTCCCTTTCCGCGTGGGATTTGGGTTGTTTCAGATACTTCTTCTTCTTTTTTTATCTCATCTCAACTGATAAATCAAATAATAAATAATTCAGATTTAATATTTTAAAAAACAAATATCTAATTTTTCTGTTCTATTTATATAATGTTATAATAATAGTTTTATAAATATAAAATCTGAACTATTTATTATTTAATTAAACAGTAAAGATGAGATACTAAAAAGGGGAAAAAAAAGATTATGAGAGGATATCAACCCTTCTTTGTGCTTGTTTTGTGAGTCGATCGGTATTTGAATGACACGTGCGATACCCAAAAATAATATCCAAATGCAAAAAGGAGATGCCAAGTGCCAAAGAGGTAGGTGCTGTTGATTAATAATTTCTTCATTTCCGTGCTTGGGAAGCGAAGAATTACTAAACACGTAGGTGTAGCTTTCACTTTCACGTGTGGTTGGCGGAGACTTTCGAAGACCCGGCTTTTGAGAAAGAATTGACCATCACGCACGGCACACACCCATTTGCACAAAATCAGACTGGACTTCACTAGGAAAGAGAATCTGTAAAGATAGGAAGAAATCGAGTGCGAGAGGGGGCTTTTTTACCAATATACTAAACAATCAAACTATATATCAAAATACTACACTTTTAAAACTATTTACTAATATATTACATTTAAAATTATTCTTAGTGAGAACGATTTTAAAATTACACACAAGTCGTTCTTGACGTGAACGATTTTTGAAATCGTTCACGCCAAGAACGATTTTACTTTTTCCTGTTTACTCTCTCACATACGAATCTCTGCCAATTTTAGATGCAAAAATAAGAATCCTTGACAATGCTCCCATAAGGCTACAACATCTATATTGGATGAAAATTTCAAAATCCCAATTTTTAAAATTTTTTAAATAGAGTTTGATGAAATTTTCTGTCATTTTCTCTTCTTTTTATTTTTCTCATACCAAATAATACATAACAAAAAAAATTGTGCTTTGATTGTAAATTTTTAATTGTAGCAATTAAGTTGCATGACTAAATTATTATTATTATTATTATTTTGGTCACAGGCATAAAAAGTGCATGCCCAATACTTGATTTCTCGTCAAACCGAACAAATGCCACACGACTGGCTTTTTTTACCAAAATACTACAAAGAGTAAAATTATATACTAATATGCTGCACTTTTAAAAGTATTTACTAACATGCTACACTTAAAATCGTTCTTTAGGTGAATAATTTTTAAAGTCATTTATCTGCTGAATGATTTCTTCATAATCTATCCTTGATGTGCATGAAAGCTTGTGTGGCATTTATCTGTACTTAAAATCGTTCTATGCCTGTGACCAAAATAATAATAATAATAATAATTTAGTCATGCAACTTAATTGCTACAATTTAAAATTTACAATCAAAGCATAATTTTTTTTGTTACGTATTGTTTGGTATGAGAAAAATAAAAAGAAGAGAAAATGACAAAAAATTTCATCAAGCTCTATTTAAAAAATTAAAAAAATTGGGATTTTGAAATTTTCATCCAACATAGACGTTGCAGCCTCATGGGAGCATTGTCAAGGATTCTTATTTTTACATGTAAAATTGACAGAGATTCGTATGTGAAAGAGTGAATAGGAAAAAGTAAAATCGTTCTTGGCGTGAATGATTTTTGAAATCATTCATGCCAAGAACGACTTGTGTGTAATTTTAAAATCGTTCTTCTCAATAATGATTTTAAATGCAGTATATTAGCAAATAGTTTCAAAAGTGTAGTATTTTGGTATATAATTTTACTGTTTATCGTATATTGGTAAAAAAGCCGGAAGAGGGAGATATGAAGAGAATGGCAAGGGGCAGAAAGCAGAATATGTGGATCAGAAGAATATATGTATATGTATATGTGTATATGTATATGTATGCGTCCACCGGCACACATGTATGTGTCGCCCAACCATTTGGAAATTGAATTGCGTTTCATTCGTTGGTACCGAAGCCAATCCCATGTACAGTAAAAGGAACACAATAATCGAATGCACTGCTCTCTCTCTCTCTCTCTCTCTCTCTCACTAAGTGCATCAATCAGACTCCACTTTGTTTTGTGCTACTGTCGAATTGAGGCGCAACTTTTGTGCACGCCACATGTTACCATTTGTAGCAAAAAAGGAAGCGTTTTTTGTTCTTCTGCTGTGATTCACAACCATCCAGAGATCTACAATCCAAGATCAATAAGAGAATGATTAGCACAGTTCTTCATGCAGGAAAAAAATTAATCATTGATCTTGCCGGGCCGTGGGATTTGGCTTGTGATCGTCGTTGATATCGGATGCCTTTTTTCCACCCTTACTCATTCTAATAATTAATGTGACTATCTACTCTGTATTTTTTTCTCTTTACCAACTATATTTATCGAATCTAATGAAATATTATTCTACATGTCCTGCAATAAAGATGGGGCAGAGAAAGCGTAAAAAGAAAAGAGGAAAAAGTCAGAAAACCTTGTGATTAAGATGAGGAATAAGTGATCGTGAATGTGACTACCACGTATCAATATGTTATTTCTGTCATAGTCGGTCTCTTATAGTCTCATTTATTGTATGATGATTGTTTGCTTGGCTCTCGATTAATAATAATTAGAAAATTCATGCTAATTACGCAATTTATCGTTTAGTTAGCTTTATTGACCCTAGTTCTCTAATTCTCTCAAAAGCATTAAAGCTAATTTGTTCTTTTATTTAAATAAGTTTCATAATCAAAACACTATTAAGAAAGGAAAAAAAAAAGGCAGGCCGAAAGTTTTGTGTTGTATTTCAAGTTTTGTTTCAATCTTTTTAATGAGTAAATTACTTTTTCTTAAAAACACTTTTATGTGGCCACCACAGATCAATATGTTATGTCTCTCATTTATTATATGATAATTACTTGCTTGCCTGTCAGTTAACAATTAGAAGATCAATGCTGATCACGTAATTTATTATTTAATTAGCTCTCTTGACTCTTGTTCTCTAATTCTCTCAAAAGCATTAATGCTAATTTGTTCTTTTATTTAAATGAGTTTCATAATCAAAACACAATAAAGAAAAAAAATGATAGGCCGAAAGTTTTATGTTCCTTCAAATGTGTTTTGTTTCAAATTCATTCTCATGAACAAGTTTAGGATTAGTCTGTTTCAATTTAAACATTTTTGTTTTGAAAAGCTATCACATGTAACTTTTGAAAATAATCAAGTATGATAAATAAAAAAATAATGTAGATAAAGAAGATATTAAAAAAAAACTAGATAATAATTCAATTTTTTATAATTATAACAGAAAACAATTTCTCTACTGTTCATAACATCTAGAAATAATTTTGAAACTTATATTTTTTGATGCTAAACAGAGACAAGCCCTTAATATTTCTAAAATATATAACATAGCAATAATAATATCTCACTTGAATATCTGAAATAATACGAATCATCCAAAAATAATAATAATAACAATAATTATTATTGAACAGTTAGATAAAATAGAAGGACGATCCGCGCACTGCGTCCCGCTTCAACCTACCCGCGGAAAAAAAGGGAACAACCCAGCCGCCTAGTAGGATTCCCACTCACCCATGGACGACAATAAATAACAGTTTCACACATTTTATTAATGTTATGCGAAAGCGAAACTCCGATTGTAATTCTCCCTCTCATCTCCTCCTCCTCCTCTCTCAGTCTCTGTTTTCTGTACTATTTTGCCGCCATCATGTTTTCCGCCAGAGACATGCCTTCTCCGTCCTCTGTTTTCTCGGCTTATGCCTCCATGACTGCCTCTGTCATGCTGTTTCGTTCCATGGCCAATGACCTCATACCTCATCCTCTTCGAGGTTATCTCCTCAGAGCTTTTCGCTATTTCGTCAAGCCTTACTCCCCTTCTCTCACTCTCGTCATCGATGAAAACAGCGGGATTTCTCGCAACCAAGTGTACGATGCTGCAGAAGTTTACTTATCGGCCAGAGTCAGTCCCGAAAACGAGAGGCTCAGGATTAGCAAGACCCAAAAGGAGAAGACCTTGAAGATTCGGCTGGAGAAGGATGAGAAGCTGGTGGATTGTTATAATGGGGTTCAGCTCAGATGGACATTCTGTTCAGAGTCAGGGAACAACCAGAATGATTTCAACGGCATCTCAGTTAGGCGATACTTCGAGTTGAGTTTCCACAGAAAGCACAAGGAGATGGTGTTAAATTCTTATATTCCGTTCGTCCTCGAGAAAGCCAAGGCCATGAAAGACGAGGAAAGGATGTTGAAGATGCATACCTTAAACACCTGCTGCTCGTCGGTCAAGTGGGATTCTGTCAATCTCGAACACCCATCGACCTTTGAGACTCTGGCTATGAAGACAGAGCTGAAGAACGCTGTCATAGAGGATCTGAATAGGTTCATCAAGAGGAAGGACTTTTACAAGAAAGTTGGGAGGGCATGGAAACGAGGGTACTTGCTCTATGGGCCTCCGGGCACTGGAAAATCAAGCTTGGTTGCAGCAATGGCTAATTACTTGAAGTTTGATATCTATGACCTTCAACTTGAGAATATCGCCAGAGATTCGGACCTCAGAAAGCTGCTTCTGGCTACTGCTAATAGGTCCATTCTAGTGATCGAAGACATTGATTGTACCGTGGATCTGCCGGAGCGCCGCCATGTAGAAGAACGTAAGCAAGCTGACGCGCAGAAGAAGGTTAGTTTTTAGTACCGAATTACCACGGACCTCCAGAGCCTGAACTTTCTTTAATTACGGGTTGTTTAGAGTAGAGTCGACGAAGGGGTAAAGAATTCTTGGCCTGAAATGTTTCCCCTTTTTTTTTTCCTTCCAAAGCCCAACAAAACCCAGGCACATCCACATGAGGGCTTCTGATTTTGAAAGCTTGCACCCCTTTACTAACCTCTTTAGAGCCATTTATGAGCAAACCTTATTTTTTCCCCCTCTTCCTCCGGCAAGTGGAGACATCAAACACGTAGGGTTGTTTGTGGGGGCCCGGTGAAGTTTAGTACAAACACATAATGAGGGTGAGAAGATTTAGGTTTTAACTAGTAGTATGCGCCAATTGATTCAACTGTACGAAAAGCGATAACCACATGTAGCATCACCGTGCAACAGGCGTCCTTTCGCTATCATTGTTTCCTCTTATTGAGAGAGAATGAATAGGAGTTTTAGTTCGAGGGTTGTTGTTATAGGATGGTGGACGCCACAAAAAGAATCGTCCATCGTGTAAAGCATCAAATGTGACGATGCTCTTCCAACATATTGAATTGTTGTTTTCCCCTGAAATATTAAAATACTTCACTCACCAAAAGAACACACACCATTATCACTGCTTTAAAATTTAGATGTGTTGACAACGTAGTATTCTTGTGTGTTGGTTGTACAGTTGACTTTGTCTGGGTTACTGAACTTCATAGATGGGCTCTGGTCAAGCTGTGGAGACGAGAGGATCATAATATTCACCACCAACCACAAGGAAAGATTAGACCCAGCCCTGTTACGCCCAGGAAGAATGGACATGCACATTCACATGTCCTACTGTTCCTTCCAGGGCTTCCAGCTTCTGGCCTCGAATTACTTGGGAATTTCCAGTGAGCAGCATCAGAATCTGTTTGCAGAAATAGAAGGGCTCATAGACGACACGCAAGTAACCCCTGCTCAAGTGGCAGAGGAGCTCATGAAGAGTGAAGACGCTAGAGACGCGCTCGAAGGGTTCGTGGGGCTGCTTAAGCGGAAGAAGATGGAAGGCGACGTGTCTGAGAATGATAGCCCAGAGAAAGCTTTGATTCCAGAAACCAAAAGGAGAAGAGTTGACTGCAAGCAGGGCAGAACTGTGGGGCTCCGCAAGAAGAATAGTGGGAGTACGCCAAGAAGGACAAGAAGAGGAACCAGCTTGTAAACGGCCAGCAGATGATGGGAGGCAAATATCCAAGAATAAAATTGGTGTTTTAGGTGTCCGCTTCCTTTTTTTCACACCCGTGTTTAAGCTTTATATCATGTACTATCCATATACTGTTATGGTCACAACAAAAAAGTGGTTATTTACTGGTTAGAGTAATTAGAACGGGTCAGGTCCTCGCTACCTTTTTTTCTTTTTAAATGTCTATAGATGTAGATCCCTGCTCTTCCTTGTATGGTCGTCCAAACAGAGTCGCACAATCGACCTTTTGGACCTTCTGGGCTGTGCTGCTTAACCCCAATGAAGTTCTGTTTGCAATCTGATAATCTCATACATCTGCGCCTCGTACCGGCCGGTTTCCTCAAACGGATGAGCATACTGAAGCAAAGCTGGAGTAGGCTGAGAGGGTTGACGTAATATATGAAAGGGTTTCAGCCACCAGTGCTGCAAACTGGTAAATAGTAATAATATATCATCAGGAGAATTCCAAGATCCACATGCAAAACTCGTGGCTTGGAACTCATCAGGATCCACATAAATTTGATGCGAACGTATCCCAACAGTGTGTTGCACTAGGATGCTTCGAGTTGGTTCATGGCCTAAAACCCACTAGTAATTAATCAAGGGCCGAAGTTTCCTATTCTCGTAATGGCCTCATGTAAGTTCACAATTTTACCACATAAATCATGTGTAGAATATTTCAGAAGATGATTCATTTAATGAACGATAATATGCGTCAAATCATCGCCAGATGAGTACATGTCCAACATAATCGTCATATTATTGACACACATGGGAAAGTTTTTACTTTTGACCACGGGCTGAGGTTCGCATGGCACGGGCAGAACAAACTTCCTAATGGAACAAACGTCCTAGTAATTTTTGTCGAAGAACGTTCCACGTGGCCTGAACAACACAGACGGACAAGCAGTGAATATGTTGCCGGGAAACTGGGAAGGGCAGAGCTGTGAACGAAATAGCCTCACGTTTCGGCTACGCCACTGCTACCTTCTCTCTCTCCCCCTCCCCCTGTTATTCTCGAATTAGCAAATTACAGAATGCGGAGCCATGCTGAGACTTCGTCAACATCTTCATTTGTTTTCTCACCGGAAACTCCTTCCCTTTCTCTCTTTCTTCCCATTTTGCATTTCTCCTCGCTCACTCTTTTTCTTATTGCCCCTCCTGGGCGTCTCACTCTCTTTCCCCGTCATTTTCTCATTTCACAAATATAAGTACCTCTCTCTGCTTTTCTTCGCTTGCAAGAGGTACATTCTTCATTTCTCTGCTACTTCCCGTTTACTCTGTCAATAACATCAACCCATTGACGAATCCGGACCATTTCTTTCATTCCTTTTTTAAAATTCCTAAATTCTGCTTCTGAAAGTACACCTCAGCGGGCGTTAATTTGGTTGTTATGGGGACATGAGAGTGATTTTAAAGAGTTCTGTCCTTTTTTTTTTTTTTTTTTAACTCGTAGGAGTTTTGTAAATTTTGGGTGCTTATCAATATATTAAAAAAATATATGTTGATTCTGTAGTTGTTGGCCCCTAAAACTGTGTGTTTATGATATGTTCTCGGAAGCTCTGAGAATATTGTGTGTTGATGGATTATTGGCGGGATTGCAGCGGAGAATGTGAGGCGCTTTGTTTCCGCCATGTATGATATGAGTGCTTGTTCTTTGTTCTTCTGCCCTCCCGTAAAGCCAGCAGAGCGGAAGCGATCTATTTGCGCGACGTAATGTCTGGAACTCTGTCTCCCAAATCAGGTAAAGTAATCAAGGAGGCATCTGGTACCGCAGCTTAGCTTGTAAAAAATGTACTGTGTGCAGAATTACAAGAGCAGAAATGTACCTGCCCTTTAGAAACTCTATCATTTGGGAATTGTGTTTTCATCGTGCATTGCAGAAAGTGCTGCTCATTGCATTCACAATTAATTTTTTCCCCTTGGTATGTTATCGGCACTCGGCAATCATTTTGAGAACTGGTCGATCCCTCATGGTAGATTATAATCATATTGTTATGCTTGTAGCTTTTGAAAATTCTGATCCTGGGTCTTTCAAGAAGAGAGTCATGAGTGCCTCGAGCATGCTCAGGAATTCGTTGACTAGAAAGGGCAAGCGAAGTAGCAAGGTCATGTCTGTGGAAATAGAGGATGTCCATGATGCTGAAGAGCTGAAAGCTGTTGAAGAATTTCGTCAAGCTCTTATATTGGATGAACTACTCCCTGCAAAGCACGATGATTATCATATGATGCTCAGGTTACTCTCTTTCTCTGACTTGAATTTTTCATGCATGTTTCCAATTTTGTTAATGGTAGCAAGTATGCATACCTTTGCGCTAATAATAATAAGAACTCGATTTTTTTTCTTTCCAAAACGTTCCCTGTAAGTAAATGGTGTCAGATAAAACATATCTTAAGAGTTGAGTTATTCATATATGCCATTTAATTGCCGCAAAGTAGCATCCACGCCCTCCTTGACTCTCCAGAATATGTATACTTAATCTAGTTATGTACTTGTACTTCGCTGTACAGATTCCTTAAGGCCAGGAAATTTGAAATTGATAAATCAAAGCAAATGTGGTCTGACATGATCAATTGGAGGAAGGAGTTTGGTGCTGACACAATCGTGGAGGTATTTTCACACCAACATTTGCTGAGGCTTAATGAGAATAATTAAGATTTCAAATAGTCACACATCATCAACCTCCTTGCTTTCTTACCAACCTTATTGTATGCAGAATGTATGTACCCTGCACTTCTTACTGAGTCTTAATTCATATTGTGTGGAAATCCTTTTAACCAGGATTTTGATTTCAAAGAACACGATGAAGTCATGAAACATTATCCTCATGGACATCATGGAATAGACAAAGATGGAAGACCTGTGTACATTGAGAGACTGGGTCAAGTAGATGCCACTAAGCTGATGCAAGTTACAACTATGGATCGCTACGTCAAGTACCACGTACAGGAGTTTGAGAAGACATTTGATATAAAGTTCCCTGCTTGTTCGATTTGATTGCAAAGAAGCACATTGATCAAAGTACAACCATTTTAGATGTGCAAGGAGTGGTATGCATGAGAAATAATCTAAGTATATGACATCATTGAAGCAATTTTCACAATTGATCATAAATCAGCAATATATGATAAAACGTCTATGTTTATTTATTTCACCATTTTTTGGCAGCATGCTAAGATACTCTTTGGTTGACAAAATGAATTCTCGTTTCCATGAGAAAGAGAACTTTAAAAAAGGGAAACAAAATTGTAAAATTTACAATCATGCATTAACATGCAGGGGCTTAAGAACTTCAGTAAAGCTGCTAGGGAACTCGTTACTCGCCTTCAGAAGATTGATGGTGACAATTATCCGGAGGTAGGCTTACCCTCTTTTCCATCTAGATATTTGCCACATAATGATATCTGAATGTATCATAATATCATCGAATTGGTTGCTTCACTGCAGACCTTGAATCGCATGTTTCATCAATGCAGGTTCCGGATTCAGAATGTTGTGGAACACCGTGAAGTCATTCCTTGATCCTAAGACCACAGCAAAAATCAATGTGAGCATACACTTTGTTCAAAATCTGATAGGTTTTTCAGGCAAGTAAATAAATAAATACTCATTTGAAAATTGTAATTAATCAGGTTCTTGGCAACAAGTTCCAGAGCAAATTGCTTGAAATAATTGATGCCAGGTAAGCTCATGAACAAGTTAAGTGTTAAGCAGTAATTTTCTCCTTATTGCACAGTTTTTGATGCCTATTTTCGTTATTTCTCAAATTTTTACTCTAGCGCTTGGTTTCCAGTGAGTTGCCAGAGTTCTTAGGGGGCACTTGTGCGTGTGCTGACGAAGGAGGCTGTATGAGTTCTGATAAGGGCCCGTGGAAAGATCCAGA